GTCTCAAGAAGTATTTTCTCTCCGTTATGTCCAGAGAAAGCTAAGATTTTATACAGTACTTTAATATTTAAGAGCTTCCGTCTTATTGGTTCCTACGTCCCTGTAAGATTGGAATTATTACTGAGTATTCCAATCTTACATATTATGATAAGTCTACACCTTGGAACTTACATGATTACAGGATCACAAAGCCAGCATGCTGAAGGGCTGATGGATTGTATGTCTCTAGGCTATGCTGTGGCAAAGCGAACAATGCCACCTTAAGGAATCCAATGCATATGAGCATACCTTTAAAAATGCACAGTGTCAAATGCATGTTGTGTTATAATCCACGGGGATCCTGAGTTTACAGTCTGCTTTACTTCATGTTACAGTCTAATTCTAAATCAATCAATATCTCTTCCTCCCTTCCTCCCTCCTTTCTTTCCCCTACCTCTCTCCCTCCCCTTCCCTACCCTCTCCTCCCTCCCCTCTCTGCCTACCTTTAGAAACTTTTTGAGAACTTCACAAATATCATATCTAATTTTTTGAACACTTGATAATGTTGCTTTTTATAAATTACCAGTAATATGCAAATTTGTATTCTTCAATTCATTTCATTGTCTTTTACTGTTTTCTTTTTTCTTTCCTTCTCTCTTTCATTCATTCATGAAATATTTATTGAGCAGAGAGTGACACTCTCCGTCTATGTGTCTATGATACTCTTTTTGACATTTAAAAAGGTTCATCAGACACGGGTCCTGCCTTTAAGAAGCTTGCAGTTAGCAATCAGAATGGTGGAACTGAACTGGGCCTTTTTCTTTTTCTGGCTTTAAACACAGAAATTTTGCATTAAAAAAAAAGTCTTAAATATATAGCCAAGCAAAAGATTTTTTTTCCAAAAAAGGTGCAAAAACAGGGAACTCATAGCCAAGGTGGTTTAACTCAGAGCTAATACTGCAGTTGGCCCACAGACTACTGAATGCAGTTATTTGTTTTAGGGTAGGTATTAGAATGCAAACAGAAAAAAGGTGACAAGAACTTACATTCCAACAAGGCCAGGCCAGGGCCTGAAATAGAGCCCCCAACAGAAATCCAGGGCCCTGTCTACTAACTAGGACAATAAAACTCAACCAACCAGCTAACATGGCAAGGAAACTGAAAGAAATAAGAAACATAAACCTGCATCACATCAAGTGTGGAGTCTAAATTTAAACTACATGAGTCTTGTAAAAAGCATTTAAGCTGTGAAATTAACATAAAAAACTGTTCCAGAACAAGTGAAATGCTTATACACATGTCAATTGTAAATGCTAAAACTCTGTAGAGTCTCTTCCACAAGGCAGTACCCATGGGATTCACCCAGATAATACATGCCAAAATAATACTTGATAAACACGCATATTAGCATCTCCAAAATTGAATAAAAACATTTGAAGGAAACTGTAAAATAAACATGTTTAAAATATTTAGAGATGTAATCACCACAAAGGAGGATTATCTATGAAAAATAACAGAAATGTCTGAAAAAGAACTAAGTAGAGCATTTCTAATCTCCTTAACAAGAAAAATATTGCCATGAAAATTAAAACATTGTAGACATTAAGCAGCTGATTAGACATAGACAAAGAAAAAAATAGTTTAACTGGAAAATAGATCTTTAAAAAAATCCCTAACCATGCAATACAGAATGATAAAAAGATTAGAAAATATGAAAGGGAGACTAATGTGAAAGATACAATGAGAGGGTCCAACATACTGCTAATGGGAGTTCAAAAAGGAAAAAATAACAGTAATAAGATGGGGTGATATTTGAAGAAGCAATGGCTAAAAACATTTTAGGACTGAAGGAATTCTTACATCTTCTTGAATAAGGACACTGAGTCCTGAACAATACAAATAAAAATCAGTCTGTTTCTAGATGCACCATAATGAAACTACAGCATCAAATAAATCAAGAAAATTTTAAAAGTTACCAAGGAGAAAATATAGGCTACCTATGGAAGAATGACAACCAGACTAACAGGAAATTTCCCAAAAGCAGCAATTGAGGCCCAGGTATAGGAGAAAACTATTTTCAAATTCCTGAGGGAAAGTACCTGTCAATCTAGAAATGTATACCTTTTTAAGCTATCATCTAAGAATGAAGGTAAAAATGAAGACGTTTTCAAAAAAATTGAAACCAAAAGACTTGAACAGTTAGCAACTGACCACTGCTGAAAGAATGACTTAAGAAAAAATTCTCCAATAAGTAAGAGTTTGAATTCAGAAGACGTGAAATACAAGAAGTAATGGTGGTCAAAGAAATGCATTGGTAAATCCAAATACATTGGTAAATCTAAACAGATATGGAATGTATATGTGTGAGAGAAACTAATCTCAGTGGTGATTTGAAATAAGTTGAAATTTAAATGCTAAAGAACAGTAATGTGGAAGATGGGAAGTAGTAGACTAAAAATATAGTATTCTGAATTTTTTCTGGTTTTTATGGAAGGGCCACTAAGTTTAGACTTTTAAGTTTGCAAGTTCATAATTTAAGAATAATTATTTAAAGTATAAAAACAGAATATGTACCTTTTAAATCCAGTAAAGGAACAAGGGGAGAGGGGGCTAAAAAACTGAATCAATCCATTAAAAGGAAAGAAAGTAGAAAGAAAGAAGGGAAGGGGGGAAGAAGTTAAAATGGTAGAGAAGATCTGAGTTTATCAGTAATCATGCAAATGAAAACAAATTAAACTGAGCTATTAAAAACAGAGACTCTCAGAATTTTTAATCTGAGTTTTTGCTGTTTCTAAAATACATGTGAAATATAATTATGTGGGAAGGGATTAAAAAGAAAAGGTGGGGGCATACCAGGCAAGTTCTTAAGAGAGCAAGAAAAAGAGGCAAAGAGAAAGAGAAAAGCAATGTTGAGATCAGAGCAGACAAAAATTTTAAGGCAAAAGAGTAGGTATTTTTGGTATGACTTGATAGAAAAAGAGTAAAAATCAGTAAAGACAGGGAGAGACAAGTCACCAAAGAAGATACCCAGATGGTCAGTAAACATTTAAAAAGTGTTGAACCTACCGAGGATGATGGAATTGGAAATGAAGGCAACTATGGAATGCCCTTTCTACCTCTATCTGATGACATGACTTGAGCTAGATAATGGCATGCACTGGGGGTGCTATGAAGTAAGAAACTTTCAGCTCCTGCTGGTGAGAATAAAACAACAGATAAGCACAGATGTGGTCTTAGCAGTTCTGCCTTCATTCTGTTTACTGTAGAAATGCACAAGGATGTTTGTAGGTATCACTTACAATACAATTAAGTCAAAGCAACCCAAGTGTCCATCAGTGGTGGAATTGAAAAGTAAATCGCATTCAAACAAATGAAACTTGAAGCAGTGAAAACGAATTAACTTAGTTACCTGTATTAAAATAGATACATCTTCAAGTTCCTGTTGAATAAAAATAAGTTGCAGAAGGATGTGCATATCTAATTTCAAATTTACATAAAACAAAGCCGTACGGTATGCTGTTTTTATAGATACATACATGTGTAGCAAAATATACACATCTGAGAGGAAATTATCATCATCCAGACTGGGTAGTTCTCGCCTTGAGTGAGGAGAAGATGTAATGGATGGGACCAAGGAGGAAGACAGACAGTCCTTAACTCTGCCATGTTTAACTTTTACAATTCTGAGGCACATATGGCAAAAAATATTAGCATTTGTTTACATCATTAATTCTGGATAGTAGATCCATAGGCTTCTGGTGTGTGTGTGTGTGTGTGTGTGTGTATGTGTATGCCTCATAACTGGCATTCGGAGTGAAAGTACAAGAGATTTCTGCTAATTGAGGGGAGCCCAAGAACACACCACAAGACCTAGCCCCACGTTTCTTCCCTGCAGACATCATCTGCTTTCAGTCGCCCTTAGAAATGAATCAGCTGTGATGTCCTCTTTTTCTGTTTCTTTGGCCTTTGACAAGTCCTTTCCTGTTTTCCACTAATAGTCTCTTTTTACACTCTGGTCATCGTAAAGCAGTATTACCCAGGGCTTCCCAAAAGATGTTTTTGGGAAAAGATATTACTTTGGGGAAAAATATCTAGAGAACAAAGTGATGACTTGCTTACTTCTCAAGGAAAGAGAAGTATGAGAAAATGACATCTGTCATTTTATATATATATATAATATGTTTTATATGTTATTTCATATGTTTTATGTATATATAGATAGGGTAGATATGACATGAGTTTTTATGGAAACATTTGGTTAGTAGAGGGAGGAGATTGGTCTATTGTATGTGTGAAAACATTTGTATACATTGCTTTTGTGATTTTCCCCTTTTTTTTTTTTTAGAGACAGGGTCTTGCTCTGTTGCCCAGACTGGAATGCAGTGGCATAATCATAGCTCACTGCAGCCTGAACTCCAAAGCTCTGGGATTACAGGCATAAGCCACTGTGCCCCACCTCACTTTTTAAAATATTGCTTAATTTCTCCTTTAAATAGGTTGCTGCAAATAGTTAATAACATGTCCAATGACCTCTGTAAGGACGGCCCATGCAGAAATAAGATTGGTCGGCCCTGTCATGTGCTCACAGCATGTAGCACAGGCCCTTTCAAGCAGTAAGTGCCTGATATCTGTGGCCAAAGAGAAATCGGTCTTTGGGCTTTGTCCCAAATCACAATAGTTCCTCTGCTTTATGGATGACCTCACTGTAACACACTATAATACTAACCAGTTAGCATTACTCTTGACATACAATGAAATCATGGCACTTTGAAAAGGGTTGGTTTCAGTGCTTCTGGCACATTCTTGGGGGTCCTAGCAAACGGCCCAGCAGTGTTGTTCTAGAAGCAACTTACCAACCACTACGAAAGGCATCTAGCTGGTCTTCAGAATACACATCTGCTCCATGTTGAAGCCAAAAGGAGAATTCTGACTCAGATCTCTTATTAAGCTGCCTCGGGCCACCTGTCTGGGTCTGATCATGAATCTTGCATTCTCAGACATTTTCTTCTTTTCCTCTGCAGAGAGAAGATGCACCAGTCTGCCATGTACGAGCTATGCCAGGGGATGCACCAGATCAGCCTCCAGTTCGTTCGACTGCAGCTTTCCTTTGAAGAATATACCATCATGAAAGTCTTGCTGCTGCTAAGCACAAGTAAATTGATGTCCATCTGGCACTTTCTCTACACTGTCCAATTGTCTTTCTTGTAGGAGAGTAGGCTATTTATAGTGTTCAGATAGTCGGTACCAAAAAAAGAAAAAAAAAACACTCCAAAACCATTGAAGAGCTGGGAGGAAGGCTTTGGCCTTTGATGAATGAAGTTACTTGCAAAGCATGAAGCTTTGGGCATAGGAAGGATTGTATGCCTTCATTCCTTCACCCATGCGACCACTCTAAGTGTCTGTTATGGGTATGGTGGGGTTGGAGAATGCAGGGAACCCAAGAGTTAGTGACACACTGTCTCCTTAGGGAGCTTGCACTGTAAGACAAGTTCAAAGGTACCTTTACTACATGTGGAAAATGATTTTTTACCATGATGGAGGTAAGGAGTGTCATGGAGGCTCAGAAAAGAGACCAGCATATTCAATTCTAGGGGTCTGGAAGGGGGCATGGCCCAGCTAGACCTCGGAAGGCGGCCAGGATGACAGATTGGATAGAAGGTGTGAGGTGATGTTCCTGCAGGGATGGCGTGAAAGAGTGTGGACCTGTGGAAAAGTGTACGGTAGGCTGCAGCACTTAGTTCTGGGGGAGTTGTTTTGCCTTTCAATGTTTTAAGAATATGTATTGGTTTAACTTTTCAAAGTGCATCAAGCCATGTTGGGTTGGGCATGGCAGGGCATGAGGTTGGGACGTACTTTGGATCAGAATAGTCAAGGCCCATTGGAGGAATCTGAACTTTATTAGGTAGGCGGAGGGGCACAACCTTGAAGGCTCTTGAGCAGTGAGGTGACACGTTCAAAGCTATATTTGATGGCTTTATGAGGGCGGATTCAAGGTGGAGAGGGAGAGAGGCAGAGGCAGATAGAAAACTTAGCCTGACTGGAAGCCCAGAGACCTGCTGGAAAACTGTGGAAAGAATGGCCTGGATTCTGCTGACTGGTGGTGTGATGGACAGAAGCAAGTGGAGTCAAGAAACATTGCAGAGTTAGCCCTGGCAACTGCCTGGAAGGGGAAATAAAAGTGCTGTGGGTCACGGCGACACAGGATTTAAGCACAGAGAAATGACTAGCACAGTGGTGATGCCATTAATAGAAATATGTTAATGTCAGGACGAGGAGCAGATTTTATGGAGTGTAAAAATGAGTTCTATTTTGGATGGGTTAATTTTTTGATGCCAACTCTGTATCCTCATAGAGACGGCCAAAAGATGGGGAAAATTTGGGACTGGAACTTGGAAGACAGGTTTGGGTACTGAGATATACATTTGAAATTATCCTTATTGAAAATTGTAGTGGAATTCAAATGGGGAGTTGGGGTTACCATACTAGAGAAAGAAGAGGATAGAGCCAGCTGAGCTATTTGACGTCAAAGGAGGGTGGCAGAGGCCACAGGGACAGAGATGGAACTGTCAGAGAGGTGGAGGCATTGGGGGAGTGTCCAGTATCGGAAGCCAGGAGTTGAGTGTTTCCAGAAGGGTATGACTAATGGGCGGCATGGCTTGCATAGAGAAAGTTGAGAACACAGACAGAAGGCCACTGGAGCTGACCAGTAGGCCTCGGGCAGGTGCCAGAATGCCAGGGACTTGCAGATTGTTGGGAAACTTTTTTAGGCTTCTGGAACCAAGTATGGGTGGAGAGAAGTTGATGGCATAAGGTGCCAGAGGAGACAAGAGAGGACAGGATTAGCCTTGGCAAGGATGTTGGGCACTTGTTCCTCAGACAACGGCACAGGAATTTTCAGACAGAGGAAGGAATGTGAGGAAGCTCCCGTCAGATGAGGGTAGGACTCAGAATGATGACAGGGGAGAGAGGATGCGAGGACAGCTCTGAGCCAAGTAACTGGCCACTGAGGAAATTGAGAAATGACCTGGAAGTTAAGAGCCAGCCAGGAGGCCACGGTGAGTGGCATGGACTTCAGAGGAGGAGAGGATGCCCAGTGACGACCTGGGAGCAGAACAGAGTATCCAGTCTGTGCCCAGCCCTCGCCCCGGGCCCCAGAATCAGATGTGTGGGAGAAGGGGCGACTTCAGTAGTCATGGGAGGAAAGTGGCACCACCAGCCGAGGTGGTCAGGACTGAACGGGGAAGAAGAGATGTTATTTCCAGTAGAGGGGCTGGGCCAGTAGAAGAGTGGATCAGGTAGTGATCAGAGCAGGAAGAGGGTACATAGTGGCCACTGGAAATCGTCACCCTGTTCCGCCTGTTAATTAGCACCTGGCAAATTAGGAAATGTTTTCCATCTATTAGCGAACTTCATACTTCAAATACAGCATGGACTGGGAAATGGACTGCCCGATGCTAAAGCTGATCAAACGGAGGCATGTCAGTGTGACTTGTTCATCATGCTCTATGAGTTAGGACTCACGCCCAGGAATGGGGACTTCATATCCAGAGTTGTCCCTACTCCCATGGGAGCAGGAAGGGAGACACAGAAAGGTGGTGGATGGCACGGGACAGGGTGACCAGAAGCAATCGCAGAGTGTGAGCAGGCCGACTCTGTAGCAGAGGGGACAAGCCGGCAGCCCTGGCAGGAAGGTGGGGCCAGCAGTTCACAGCTGTGTTTGGTTTGGCCGGGGCAGATTTTGGGGGTTGCTCTTGGCCTTTGGTTTTATTTTCATTGAATCCGAATGCCCGGGGCAGGGCCTGTTCTCTCCAGTTTGCCGCAGGCCCCACCATTCCTCACTAATTGCACCCAGCCTGGCTCCTGCAGGTTTTGCGTTTATAGACCCTCATCTGCAGGGTCAGCTCGCAGCCCCACCCTTCCTCAAGGTTGCTGTTGCTTCTCAATGATCCTTTCCGAAGTCGAAGTGTAACTTTGGAACTATAATCTTTAAATTCAGTGACAGTGATCTTATTATTCCCCTTCCAAGCTAGTGTATTAACCACTACTGGAAAATGTTTAAAAAAAAAAAAAACTATAACAGATGGATGATAGAATGTAAATGAAACATTTTTTTCCTAAAAATGCTTGTGATACTAATCTTTATGAATGTTGGCTAAATCTTAATTAGTGTCTTATCCTTTTACATCCTTTTACATACTCATTCAGCCTGTAATAGATTCTGATATCATTTTGACGATACCTGAATTAATTTCTTAGCTTCCAAGTAGCTCGGTACTTTCAATTCTAATTTTTCTTTTTGAATGCAGAAAGAGCAAAGTAAAAAGGCAGGAAAACATAGGTAAAGAACTTGTGTGAATCCTAGAAACTGCAGGCTTTCGTAAGCTTATTTTGCTCATCTTTGATAGAATGCATGCGAGTTTTTCTTCTGATTTAGGAATCTTCAATTGCACACCTGATGTCCAGGGTAGCAAGAAAGTTTTTCAGTGATGACATCAAGAGCATCTCATGTTCTTTGTGCTTCCAGTGGAAAACAGACAACTTCCACCCCATTGTCTCTTTGCTCCTCTTCAGTTTTGAATGGCTTCCAGCAGCCCTGCTGCATTTAATAAGTAAATTCAGAAACTCTGGGCAGACTTCCAAAATTTGAGGTTTTGCCTAAGTTCTCTTTATTTGTGGCTTTGTTTCAACTTCTAAATAAATCTGGCTAGGAAACTGTTACAATATATTTCATTTACAGCAAAAATACAAGTAATAATATTTGACACAAGTTGTTATAATCTTTAGAATTTTTGATAGCACAAATATCAGAAATATGAATTTGGTTCATCTTAGTAGATGTACCATATAGTATTAAAATATAATAATGACATTTTATTCACTATTCTAATGCTGGTTAATTTTTTAATATAGATGATGACCTCTATATGAATATCCACATTAAAAAAACAAAACATTTACTTTGTACAGTTTTACAACTTAAAATAAAGTGCTAATCTGTGAATGAGAAGTGCAATATTATTTGCAAAATTTCAGTTTCTTTTAGAAAGTTTTAGCTTAACACACCTATAGGCCGGATGTGATAGCTCATACCTGTAATCCCAGCACTTTGGGAGGCCAAGGTGGAAGGATTGTTTTAGCCCAGGAGCTCAAGAGCAACCTGGACAACATAGCAAGAGCCTATCTCTACAAAAAACTTTTTTTTTTTTTGAGTTGGAGTTGCCCAGGCTGGAGTGCAGTGGCATGTTCACGCCACTGCAGCCTCAACCTGCTGAGCTCAAGTGATACTTCCACCTCAGAATTCCAAGTAGCTGGAACTACAAGTGAGTGCCACCATGCCCAGCTAATTTTTTGATATATTGTAGAGACAAGTTGCCCAGGCTGGTCTCAAACCCATGGACTCAGGCAATTCCCTCACCTCGGCCTCCCAAAACGCTGGGATTATAGGCATGAGTCACTGTGCCCAGCCTTAAAAAACTTTTAAAAGCCAAGATTCTGGAGGCTGAGTTGAGAGGATCACTGAGCCCAGGAGTTCAAGGCTGCAGTGAGCTATGATCATGCCACTGCAGACAAATCAAGACCCCGTCTCTAAAAAAAAAAAAAGACAGAAAAAGAAAATGGGTCTGTCATTTTACTGCTGACATCTCGTTATTACCATCCTTCTTTATTTTTTTCTATACTTTTAAGACAAGGTTTTAATTTAAGAGAAAAAAACTATTCGTTATATAATGGATGGCTCTTAACTCTTAATGTGAATGTCAAATATTTAAAATGACGACTAATAAAGTAGCCTCAGGAATTTGTGCAGTTGCTATTAGAGATTTATTTTTTCCCCTCACAAAAATAGTCTTAAATAAACCACAACTCAAAAGCCTCAACAATTAAACTCAAGGAGATTATTAACATAACAGTAGCAGTTAATTTGCAAGATAATCCATATCTTTTTACAGGGTAACAGGGTTTATTTGGAAACAGTGGTGTGCCTGGCTTTCAGGGTGGCACATTATCCTCAGAAACATATTTAGCCCTTCTAAAATGCTGATGACCAAAGTAAATTATTATTTATACCAGCTATGAGAAATTAGTAAACAGGATGGATATTAAGAAGTGAAAATAAGAGCAGCTTCGACCTCAGAATGTTAGTATCACAAGGTGAGGTATTCTTAGGTCTTCATCTTCTAAAAATAAAATTCTAGTTGATTTGCTTTTTTAGGGTTAAAGCATAAATATAACTACTTATTGGCCATGGTGAAAAGCTAACCTGTAAGTAGTTAGTTGGCTTAGGCTCTGCCTTGTGTCTCTCTCCTGGACTTTCCTTCTCAATGAAGTGTCTTATGTGTCCTAGGACACAGAAGCATTGGTATGCATACAAGTCCTGAATTTCAAAGTCTTATTTTTAAGTGAAATTCTGTTTGTTTAAATATAAACGCTAGCCACTACATAAAAGGAAGGAAGAAAATAGAATTCTTAATTTGCTACCTTATTGGAGAGAAAGACGAACATGGTTCATTGTCTTTGAAAGTTTTCAGTGTTGCTCTCTTGCATACAGAGCCGCTGTTGATGTTACCCCAGGGCACACACAAACCAGTGCCCAGACCCAGCAGGGGGCTGTGCTGGAAGATCACATGACAGCACCTCCATCGTCATGTGATCGTGGAGCAAAGCAGATAGTAAGCACTTCTTTGTGAGCAGCGTCCAGTCCTTGTAGATGGCCAGATTCTTCCGGTGTCTTTGCTATTTGAACTTGAATATGAAAATGTTTCCTTCTAATGCTAGCCCCAGCTTAGATTGACTGTTGAAGCTACATATCATCTGCATGGGAACACATGACAGATTTACTTTCTTCTGTGACTTTCATTGAAAGACTTTCTTATTTTTTATTTTTTTTTTGAGTTGGAGTCTCACTCTATCGCCCAGTTGTCCTGGAAAATCAAAATATATTTCCCTACTTCTAAGATGTTGATACATTAGGATTCAAAAAATACAAGGCAATGTAGCATGGTGGTGAAGAGGCAGGCTTTGGGAACAGGGAGACCTAAGTTTATACTACCCCTTCTCTGCCATTTATTTACTGTGTCCTTGAGAAACAGTTCAACCTCTGATCTTCAAGTTCCTCATCCATAGAGTAAGAATAACATATTGGTGGATTAAGTGGACCAGTATATGCAAAGTGTGTAATAATACACATCTGATCAATAGGAGTTATTGTTCGTGTGTGTGTGTGTGTGTGTATACACGAGTGTGCCAGTGTTAACTGTCATATTTATCCACAAATGCAGTTCATTGAGATTCAGTATCTAACCGCAAAATTAGTATGTGGCCTTAGCCACTAAGATGGCTACGTTGGTTTCCATCCTGGGAATTTACACGTCTGTATTTTTTAACACAGTTCCAAAGGATGGCCTCAAAAGCCAGGCTGCATTTGAAGAAATGAGGACAAATTACATCAAAGAACTGAGGAAGGTGGTAACTAAGTGTCCCAACAATTCTGGACAGAGCTGGCAGAGATTCTACCAACTGACCAAGCTTCTCGACTCCATGCATGACGTGAGTAGGGCCCTGGATTCCTGTTCAGTAAGGAACTGACCACCACACACACACTTCTGACCAAAGGAAACTAGAGAGCTGAGCGTTCTCAGGGTTTTGGGAAAGATTGGAGTCAACTATACTGTGGAAGGCAGTAAGAGTTAAAAACTGATTAAGGACTTTTTTTTTTCAAGTAACCTTTGGAACAACCATTATTTACAGCAAAGGGTATGCCATGGACCAGGGAGGCCCTCGGATTTGCTACAGATGTCAGATTGAGTTTCACATTTTTGCTTGCAATTTAGGAAATGTTTGGTTAGTAAAAATGTTTGCTTTAACATTGCATAAATAATGTCCATCTTCTACGACTGTTAATCTAATAACCCAATCTTTCAAAAAACATTATTAGTGGTTCGGGGCCAGCTTGGATCGTCTCAGCTTCTGCCAAATTTTGGATCCTCTATTCATTACTCTTCATGGGAGTCACCTTTCTTGTCTTGTGTAAATACGGAAAGTAGATTTTGCGCTCATTTCTAATTTAGTCAATTATAGATGTAACCGAGGTGTTTTTAGCAGTGTCTACAAAATATTGATTTGGATAACTCGCGTTGTGTGTCATTTGAAATATGCTTCTTGTTTCGCTCTGCAAGCAACGTCTCTAGTTCTGGCTCAAAGAATGTTGTATGCAGTCATGCTAACTTTGTTCTTCATATTTGTGAAGTTTCCATACTTTCTTTGGAGAATGTATTGCCCCAGTTCAGCTTATACGATTTGAATAATAAACTCTTTCAAAACAATATTTTTAAAAAAATATTTTAATACCTTTAAATATCTTTAAAAATATTTTTAATATCTTTAAAAAAATATTTTTCCATTGTCAAGGAAAATGTTGACAGGCTTCTGACCAATACGCGAATAGTGTTGTTATGGGCATAATAGTTTATCCTTTAGAAATCCGATTATGCCAGTAGAATGTCATTTCTCCCTGGTGCTAATGACATAGGGTTAATTGATAAAAGAATGTCACTTTCCAATGTGTTACACTGAGACTGTGTATATCATTGATCTTTGTTTTCTCTGAACTTTTCAAGTGACAAGAGTCAAACTCCCGCGAGGTGAATTCAGTGAGAAATAGTTTTGCTAATGATCAGTGGCACAAGGAGTGTGGTTTAGTGGAAAATCTTAGAAAGAAGAGATGATGGCAAGCAAGGCTTTGGGAGCACAGCAGACGCTCCAGTGATTTCCATGAAAGGAAACACAGGAAGCCAGAGCAAGGCCTTCCTTCTCATTTTATGTTGAAGCTACATATCATCTGCATGGGAACACATGACAGATTTACTTTCTTCTGTGACCTTCATTGAAAGGCTTTTTTATTTTTATTTTTTTGAGTTGGAGTCTCACTCTATCGCCCAGGCTGGGGTGCAGAGGCACACTCACAGCCTCCCCAGCGTCAACCTGCTGGGCTCAGGAGATCCTTCCACCTCAGCCTTCCAAATAGCCAGAACTACAGGCATGCACCACCACACCCGGCTAATTTTTTTGATATATTGTAGAGACAAGGTCTCGCCAAGTTGCCCAGGTTGAAAGACTTTTTTAGTAGAGATTAGAATGGGGTTTTATGGTTCTTTCTTAAATTCCTTTACTTGTACAAGTAGGCACAAGTGCAGTATTAAACAAGTAGTTGTCATCACAACACATTATAATAGATGATACGTTTTGAAGCAATTTCCATGTAATGACATGGACAATAGAAATTAAAACTTGACTGGGTGCAGTGGCTCACACCTGCAATCCCAGCGCTTTGGGAGGCCAAGGTGGAAAGATTGCTTGAACCCAGGAGTTCAAGACAAGACTGGGCAACACAGTGAGGTCATCTCTACATACATAAATAAATAAACAAACAAACAAATAAATAAAATTAGCTGGGCATGGTGGCACATGCCTGTAGCTGCAGTCCCAGCTACTCAGGAGGCTGATACCAGAGAATCGCCTAGGCCCAGAAGGTTAAGGCAGCAGTAAGCCAGGGTCATTCCACTGCATACTAGATTAAATGACAGTGAGACCCCAAATCAACAAAAAATAAAGAAAATAAAAAGGAAAACGTGTTTCTTCCACAGCCTTTCAGAATCTGTGTACCTTAGGTGACACAGGACAGGAGAGATACTAAGAGGCTACACCTGTGACCCCAGGTCACAACCTCTCTGCTGGTTTTTTTTTGTTTTTTTTTTTTAGTTGGAATCTCACTCTGTCACCCAGACTGGAGTGTAGTGGCCGCTCCCGGCCACCGCAGCCTCGACCTGCTGGGCTCCGGCGATCCTTTCGCCTCAGCCTTCCAAGTAGCTGGCACTACAGGCGCGTGCTACCACGCCCAGCTGATTTTTGATTTTATTGTACAGATGAGGTCTCACCAAGTTGCCCAGGTGGGTCTCGAACCCGCCAGCTCAGGCAATCCACTCACTTCAGCCTCCCAAAGTGCTGGGATTACAGGCTGAGCCACCGAGCCCGGCTGAAACATTTTAATTATAAAAGCTTTATTTTAGTGTATCAAAAATGTTTGATCTGAAAGGTAGCCTAACAGAAGCATCGTGAATGCTCTGTTTATATTCCTATCCCAGACAGAACATTGAAAAATGCATTGTAAGTCTGGAGGGACCTTTCTAGCATTCACACTTACTCACGCTCCAGACTGCCTACAGCTTTTTTCATTAATTAGTGAATCAGCATTTGTGGATTTTTTTCAAGGGAACAAAGAGCTACACAACATATTGGCTCTCTCTATTCGGAGGGTCTAGTTCTGGTCACCTTGTGGAAAAAAGAGCATTTGTTTCTAAGGGTCACACAAAGAGAACACTTTGAATGTAGATCAAAGTTCTGCTCAAATAGCAGACGTAGTATATGAGCTCTCAGGACACACATGGATTCCTTTTACCTAGTGCACATGTGTGTTGGCAGAACCATGCCAACGTGGGTAAAAGGAACATTCTCTGAAAGAACAGGTTGACAGTTAAATGTTTGAATCAGCCAGCGACTTTAATGAATCCAAAGCCCTCTGAACATCAGTCTTTCTCCAAGAAATATTTCAAAGAAGGCATCTGTGGTAAGGCTCAGTAGACATATTTTTGCATTGTGAATCTTGGGTGTCATATGTAAAGTACAGAGAACCCTTATTCTACTAGAGAGAACTGGCAAGAATCATTTCTGAGCTATTACTTGGAGTAGCCATTTTCTGTGGGTGAAGGAAGCATATTTCGAATGAATTTATTGCTAACAACTATTTATTTTTCGAGATCAAGGACTGTTTATGTTATAGTCACTGTATAGAACTGTTAGTAAATATCAAAGATGATATTAATAGTATCTCAAGGCAAAACTCGTCCTTTTTCTACTAAACAGCATACGATTGCAATTTAATGTCAGTGTACACACTTAGCAAAAATGTGCTTCATGCCTAGCAGGGTAGATAGTGCTACAGACAATACAAGATACAGGCATGACACCCACCCAGCCCTCGATGAGCTTAGGTTCCACAGAGGCGGCTGGAGCATAATGCTTGACAGAAGGTGAGCAGTGCCTAAATTGGTCTCCTGGTTGAGGGGACTCTTGAGAGCACGTGTGTGTTCAGGCATTCATCTGTGGCTGAGCCCCTGCCATGTTCCAGAACTGAAGGTGCAGGCATGAACAGAAGGCCCGTCTGTATGAGTCCACATATATCTCATTCAGCAGATCATTGAGTACTTCAAAGTGCCAGCCACTAGGGGAAGGACCCAACAGCAAGGCAGCCACACGGTACCTGGAGCCCCCAGGGAAGCGTGCTGAGGACTCGGAGTAGGTGAGCACGCTTTGAACTATGGACTCATTGCTGTTTATTCTTAGTTGGTACCAAGCCTTGTGGAGAAGGTAGGGGAGCCAGCTGTGCTGGGCAGGACACATGGAAGACTTCCAAGGGGGTGTCAAAAAAGTCCTTATTTAATAGAAGAAGAAAGCCCCAGAGAGTGATTTCTTATGGTTTCTAGGTAGCTGGTGGCACCTGAACCTCCTTGACTCACTGTTTAGTGCCCCTGACACCACCATCATGATGAGGGAGTACTTCTGGTTGATAGCAGCTGCTCATTTCTCAGCTGGGCTGCATTTTGGAGATCAGAAAGGCAGCATCTAGGAACATTAGAAACAGCTGCACCGCTCTCCAGCTTTCCAGACGCATTTGGATCCTCCCTGGCATGTTCTGGAATGCATCATTTCTGTGAGGCACGGGGTTTCATCTTGAAGGCAGTCCACCTGGTTTTGTACTAAAATGTCACGTGTGTTGAGTAGTTCCCAAAACAAAATGTTAGGTCTGCCTCCACAGAAGCTGAGCAGGCTTGGGGTTGGAGAATTTGTTTCTGCACGTGATCATTAAACCCAGATGAGAACCTGCCCCTTGGCGGGGCAGGCATCAGCATGTCACTGAGATGCTGTGCTCCGCCCAACAGAAAGGAATGCTCCATTGCTGCATAACTGCTTCCTGGGTTTCTAGGAGGAGTGCCTTCTCTAGCCAGGCTCTGGGAGCCAAAGCTTCCCTTTTGCAGAGGAAGGAGGGCGGTGTAGGGAATAGAAATCTGGTGAGACAGTAAATATAACACGAGCACACTGGGGAGACTTCATTTTTTAGGTGAAAAGGGCACTCGGTAGCAGTGACACTGTAATCAACAAAAGAGATGTTGCTGCAAGCAGCCATGACTGTTGATAAATTATTTTGAGAGTCTCATTGCTCATTTAATTAGCAGGTGCTCTTGCATCCGGCTGTGGTAGCGGTAATTTCCATCATGATCACACGATAGGTGGGTTAGAGATAGGCACAAACCTATTTTAAGCACTGCATACCCCACCCTGAAGGATGAAGCCACACATCTGGCTCGGTCTACCATTTATTTGGTCATGTCCCCATTGGATTCTGTGGTATGTCTTTCCAGTCAGGAAAAGTTTCTCCTCGGAAAAAGTTCTGAGGCCAACATAGGAGCCCGTCACAGAAATGAGACCACTAC